CGGATTTATTAGGGAGAGTTATAGGCTAGGCAATGTCATTTCATTGTTTTCCCACAATGGCTTATATTCCTCAATATCTGATGAATTCAACATTATATGCATAATAAGTTATAATATAAAATATTCCAATACACTTCTTAAGCTATTGATAAATTCGTCTTATCAAAAATAAAATTATATTTTATAATTCTTGCAAAGAAAAGAGGTAGGTGAGATTGTCTAGAGAACACGCATATGACGGCTTATTCCAGAGTGTAAACAAGTTATACAACCACTCAACCCATAGCAATCTGGCAAACGGTAAACGGATTAATTTAACACTAATAAAACAATCTTTTACTTTGAATCATTTTATTCTTTACTTTCGGCCTAAGTTAATTAATCATATATTAAATGAACACAAATGCTCTGTTTTTTTTGCATCTGACTCTGAAGGTGCTTTGTGTTTGTCGATAACACGCGCATCAGTTCTGGTAATGTAAAATCGCGTCAATAACTACGGCCTATCGGCTATGCTGCTTATGCTGCCATCTGAAGTGCCCACCAGCTTTTTCGCATTAATTATTGCGGATATAAGAAAATCCCGTTACTTAGCTCTTTGCCAGTCAGTCTCTGTCCATCTTCTCCGCTGGCCGGTTAATTCGCAGAAGAAAGTTTCGGCTCTTGGTCTTAACAAACACGATCAAGAGGAATCACCTTATACATACAAATGATACATCTATTTTGATCCAACTTTCACATCACTTTTATGCTGTCCTGTCTAAAGAGGTTTAGACAAAATAATTACGAAAAATGTAAGTATTCAAGATTAATTCGGATTTATCCGCCAGCCTGAGACGACAGGGTTCCCCATCAACCTGTATTGGTATGATTCTGTTTGCCAATAGTTCAAAGTAATTACCAATTAATCCTAACTGGTAATTGTTCTCGACTAAACTTTTCCTTAATCGCTCCAGTCCATGGTCCCGATTAATAACAACTGCATAGCTTTCATAATCCCTACTTTAACCCCATAAGTATAATTTGAAAATAAATTCAAAAGGAATTCCTCATGTGTGAGATGTCTATACACATTTATACCCAATTTGTTTGATTCTTTGCAAACGAGAACATCTAGAAACCGTAGAGTAGCATTCTTTTCTAGTTCCACAGTGAATTTGGTCTTTCCGTCAATTCTATTCATTACCAGAAGTGGGTTGACCTCGTTGTCGCAACATTGTCTTGTTGTCAGGACGACTTAGTAGAACGCACCTAGTCTGAAGTTGTACATTCTCAAACATACCAAGCACACAGTCTGAGGCTGGGAGTTATGACAATTAATAGGGCAGACGACTCCAAACTGGGTGCGTTCTACTAAGTCACCACTTTTATAAATCGTAAGGAGAACGCGACCATACCAGAGGTCACACCATTTTGGTCTTCATATCTTTTATTCATTAACGTTAGGAAGTCTTCTGGGCATTTTGCCGTCTTGCCAAATTTCAAAGTAGACATTGATGTACTTAACAAATAATTGAAGAGCTAAAAGTGCTTCTTGTATCGAGCCACTCAGTCATGATAAACATAAAGTCAACACTAAAGATGCAGCTTGCCCAGCTTCTTATTCTGAAAGTCTATCGGGCTCGTAAAGCCTCACTGATACAATAAACTATATCTGTGGGAACTTTAGCTAAGGAAGCCGATGGAAAAAGTGTAAGTCTTGGTAAAGAAATTCAACACCTAATGATAGTTTTGAGACTCAATCTCTCAACAGATGGTGATGCTGTAGAATTAAACTGCAAACACGCTAGAAGTATGAGGTTAAGTAGGCATAGCTCCCTCCGTAAAGTCACATCTCACTGTAACCCAGTCCCTGTTGTGGGGTTCTATATTTGTCGTTCGAAACCAGCTCGAAATTACTGTCCTATCTGTTACGAGACAAGTCTAGTTGAAACTCACTGGCATCGTAATGTCCTACTGGGTGCATTGTGTGAAATTAAAATACCAGTCCTCACAGCTCTAATTCCCACTCAAGATGTAGCGATATTTCCGAAGCCAGCTGATTCAAAATGAAAAACTTAATCTTGCTCATATAGGGCGTGTGTATGGGAGAGAATGAGGCAGGGCGGCATCACATGAGGGTGGGGGAAAAGAACCATATTCCCCGGATTGTGTGTTGTAAGATGAGAGTGGTCTTTTCACTCCACACGATAATGAGTTATGGTTTAAGATTAAGCCTATCTTCCCTCAGTGATGTTGCCGTTTGTGAATGCACCTCGTCACCGATTCGATGCTTTAGGGGCACATTTCGATAATCAAAATGTCCTTTTGATCCAGTGGTAACTTGAAGCTTTTCAAGAAAGGGTTACATCTCTGATGATGTCTGCCAACTGACATGACGGAAGCAAGCTCAGCTCGTTTCCATCCGAAACAAGGTAGGATGTCTTTTGGATTGCGTCAACCTGAATGTCACATTAAAATCAAACGACTTTTCATCGTCTTGTGGAGAAATCAATATACAAATCTCTGTATCCAAGCCCTTTCGTACGAAATGAAAATCACCATAACAATGTATGATGGTGAAGAAAAGTGTGCTGCTGACTTAGCCAAGCTACAAAAGGCGGGAGATCCAAAATGGAAGCAATGAGAACTAAGACTAACTTTAAGCCACTACTTATTGGTCAAAGTCATTTTGTCGGCTCACTTTATTTCCCTAAAAGTATGAGCTCTCTGTGCAATCTGCGTGATATTGCTTCGTTTACATGCTTTTAAATTAATCACGATCTGCTTACTCAAAGGACAGAGTCATCGAAGACCTCTGCTTCGGCTTTTTGATCAGCTGGGCTTGATTTCGCCGCCAGATTCGGATAATGGCTGGCTTGAGACGACAGGGTTCCCCATCAACCTGCATTGGTATGATCTTCCGAGTGGTCAGCACGGCCGACCGACACTGGCAGAGTCGGACTCCATGTCCGCCCATTTGGAGGGCGGCCTGAAAGCGTTTGAGGAAATCATTCGGCTCCAGGTCAGTTCGGGTGGGGCAATGGAATGTGAGCATGTGTGATTTTGACCGAGTTGGCCAGATGGTGTACATGATAATGAGCATTGATAGTAACAATTTCAGTCAGAATTGAGTCTTATTTGTGAATAGAATAATTGTGATAAGTTGGAGACAGGTTATTTTTCATACATTCGTCTACTCTCAATTGAATCATCATTTTTTAGCCTCTACTGATGAGTAGTCATGCTCCAGCTTTTCCAAAACCGGGCTCAACACGTCTGGTTAAAATCACATTCTGGCTAGCTGCCTTTCTATGCTCAACGGCTAAGCTCAATTAGGAGCATACGATTTGAGTCGAGAGAAACTTCTGACTTCGAAAATTCGGGAAATGCTAACCTCTACCTTTTTGCCTATTGGAAGCACAATACGTTGACAGAAGAAGCTTTCTTATTTTCGAGACTATCAAGAAACCGATTGTCATCAAGGCGTGCTAGTTTCAAAGGATTTTCTGTCGAACTACTAGTCGGCTTTAGCACGATGAATGCAAATAAATACTTTGTTCTAACATTTGACCTCACTGCACCATATAATCTATGAGGCTATCTTCATTTATTTTTCGAATTAAGTATTGTTTTCGTGACTCCCAGTAACTCAGTTATAAGATGTATTCACCCAATTTCGTTTAAGGTGAT